TATAAAATTAATAATTTTAATAATAAAAAATATTAAAAAAATACATTTAATTATTTTTAAACATATCATTATTAATCATTTAATTTTGAATAACAATCGTTAATTATTATATAACCAAATAGTTATATTAATTTAATTTACTATCTATGATCCATTATCCGTTATGTGCTATCTACTATTATTATATACTACTAACCACTCATTATTCACTAAATTTTAACCACTATACCAAACAAGTTCCAAAATAAAATTTTTTGAGTTAATTCGCAAAGAGAGTTTGCCTAGAGAAAAATAAGTGTGGGCCAGGTGTTCCAAATTTGCTTCTTAGAATTTACGTCTGCTTGGTAGATGGTGGGACAAGCTTTCCTGTGGGAATAAAATAATAGTTTTGTGGAAAAATATTATCTTGAGCAAATACCATGGGTAGGTCACAACCAGCTTCAATTTCTTGCACTGCAAAGACAAACCTTTCCTCTGTATGGAGAGATATTTTATCAATAGGTCAAGCTTGTAGCGCAAACCATCTTTGCTTTAACAAGGGATTCAAATGGAAATTCGGTGATGACTCTAGGATTAAATTCTGGCATGACTGTTGACTTGGGTGCAGCCTCTTGACAAAAGAATTTCCCAGACTATATGATCTTTCTGTCTAGAAATATCTCTGTTGCAGATATGTTAAACCAAATAGAGATTCAAATGGTTTTTGGTGGCTTGCATGGCGAAGACCGTTGTCAAGTAGAGCAATTGATGAATTGCAGCACTTGGAAGATATACATACCAGAAGAGGTTCAGCTTCCCAATGGCTTCCCTGATCAAATAAAATGGCGGTACAGCACTGTTGGATACCCTACAAAAAAGGCATATTCCTTTCTTGAAGTCTCTAGTCCGTGCTTGGACAGCAATTCCTGCAATCTTATTTGGATTCGATGCTGTCCCTCCAAAGTTAGCGTGTTTGCTTGGCGTCTCATGCTGAACCGCCTTCCAACAAAGGACAATTTGGCTATCAGAGGAATTGATTTCACAACAAGATAGCTGCATATTTTGCGATATGCTTGCAAAGAAGATGTT